ATATATTAAATATCTTAAACGACAACTATCATTTCGTACACACACACACACACACACACACATATATAGGAAAAACTTCTGGTAAGGTATACCTTATCGGAGCCGCCGTGCAGCCTCCACGCTTTGAGGGCCTTCCCGGTGGAATTTTTCGATAAATATTTTTGAGCATGTTCTTCATAAAGTCTAGTACATCCATATCAAATTTCAGCAAAAAATGCAATCGGGAAGGCAGTCAAACGATTTTTGGAAGATAACTGCGTTTTATATGTATATAAAGGGTGCATTTATCTTCCAAAAATCATTTGACTCCTTTCCCGATTGAATTGTTTGCTGAAATTTGGTATGGATGTACTAGACTTGATGAAGAACATGCTCAAAAAATTTCATCGAAAAATTCTACCGGGAAGGCCCTCAAAACGTGGAGGCCGCACGGCGACTCCGGTAAGGTATACCTTACCGGAAGAGTTCCCTATATATATATAGGGGTGAGTTCTAATACAAAGAGGTCTTCCCATGAAAAGTGAGAAGTGATCTAAGCCTTTGATTACTTAAAAATGGATGGTATAGATCAAAAGTAACGGCCAACTAAAATGTGTAATACATAATAGCAAAAGTGCATATGCAATATGTAATGGTGCACATTCAGCTACTAAAAAAATATCAGAAACAATAGTTATACTTCTTATTTTTTTTTCCTAAAAAGTGATGCACTTTTGTGTTAGTCTAATGCACTTTTCCTCCGTATTCATGCACATTTGTCACGCATTTTTTTAAAAAACTTTTTGATAATTACACTTTTGGCACCAAATTTTACCCTTAAAAATTGATCTCATCCACTCATTTTCTCATCTTAATGGCTAAGATTATGTCTTACTTTTCATATGAGGAGTACTTTTTATTTGAACCTCTCTCTATATATGTATATATATATATATATATATATATATATATATATATATATAAAGTAACAATTTCCTATATACGCTAAACTATCATTACTATTTTCTAATTGCTCTTCCTTAACACCCTAAATCATTGAAGCACAAGAAAATTACAATTTCGTTCAAAAATATAAAAAAGCAACAATCTCCTAAATACACTAAATTATTGAGTATTACTATTTTCTAATTACTCTTACTTAACACCCTAAATCATTGAAGCACAACAAAATATGAAAGACTTAGAAAATGTTCCATTCATTTGGTATGAACTGATATGAGTATTTTAAAATCTGATCTACCCTGATCTGAATTATTCTGTTCTCATCTAATCTGGATCTTACCGAATTTTCTTATCTAATCTTAATTCTTCTGATCTGATCTGAATCCTTCTAATATATTCTGATCTGAATATTCTTGATATGATTGAGTGTTTATTATTATCAAATTATTACTACTATTATTATAATTATTATTAGAGAGAATTTGACTTTGCACCCTATATTTTCAGTGATATTTGACTCATATTTGACTTTGGACTCTATTTTCAAAATTATTAATGTATGCACTCAAATTTACTATAAAATTGTTTCACTATGCACCTCACTCCTTCACAATTTTTGGGCTTATGGGGTGCACACATTAATAGTTTCAAAAATGGGATACAAAGTCAAATGTCACCCAAAATATGGGGTGAAAATTCAAAATTTCCCTTTATTATAATTAGCTATAACTATAATCATAATTATCACTATAATTATAATTATAATTATATTTATAACTATAATTATAAATTAATATTTTGTATGATGATAAATAGTCCAAGATTACAAAATAGTGAATTTTATTTGATTAAGTTTAACCAAAACCAATAAATGTTATTTCAAAAAATGTAACAAAGTGTTCAAAATTTTGCAACAAGACCATAATTAATATTTATGAATCTAAAGTGCTTCATTTATAAGGGAAATATAATAATTTTGCAATTCAAAATTAAAGAGTTAATATTTTAACATAAAAACAAATCTTTATTTATAACTCTCTAAATTTTTTTATTGTTCAAATTTAAAAATTTAAATTTATAATTTATTTTTATTTATTTGAAAATTGATTTTATTTATTTAAAGTTAACAAGGGTAAATTTACTCCTTTATAGGAATATTTGGGGTACTTTTGAACCTTTTATATGTTTAGGGATATATTTGCAGCTCCACATATACTTCAGGGGTATATTTGCACATTTCCCCTAATTTAAAATATCATATACAATGTTGCAAATTATTTTGAATGGCCACATTTTCCCTTATATATTGAAAATAAAACATACTATGCCATGTGTGGTTAATAACACGTTTTCTGTTTTAAGTGCGATATTATTGTATCTTCATCTCAAGTCGTCACTTAGCTTCCTTATTAGACATCAAGAAATTCGGTAAAAGAGCTTCTACCTATAAAACCAATGAAATTCTGATTCTCAAATACAATCAAGAGGTTTTGATCGACGAATATTTGTATATTCATATATATGGACTAAATATATAAAAAATTGTAATATTAAGATGAGACACTAGGACTAAGAAATTTAAGGCCACAGAAAGCGTAAGAATATTATCACGCAGTCATTACTCAGTATTTTTAAACCTTTGAGATCCTAAGAACCTTAATGCCATAGAAAGTGTAAAACATTTTATCCACACGATATTTTTGACAAAAATGCGTGTTTATATAAAAAAAGGTTTATATTAATAAATTTATCCTTAATTTACAAATTTTATTCTCCCGTACATCGCACCGGTAGAATAATAGTTTTTTTACAAACTTCTAAATTGGCAAAATTTTATGAGGATGAGGGAGTAAAAACATAAAAAGTTTGAAAGTAATAAAAAACAAAGTGATATTGGGGTTGTTTCTCTTTCTAATTTCTTTTTTTTTTTAACAAAAAACATTATCAGAATATTCATTGTTTTCGAAATTAATTTTGGTTTTAGTGTTTACTATTAATTTTATTATATAAAATGAAGAGCCAATTTAAGATGTTTGAATAAGTTGTCGTTATAAATTACTTCTTTTGTAACTTGATTTTCCATGAAGTTTTGAACATTTCAAAAACCTTTTTTTTTTTCTTTTTTCTTTTCCTAGTTATGTTTCGCAACTTATCTCGGTATCAATCAACATGTCGTCCGCATCTTCTGTTGGAACCTCTTAGAGGTACAAGAGGGGCATGTCTGGGGCTACGAGTACGATCAGGCTGGCATGAATGAGGATGATGATACCTCTAGTCTTGAGGTGATGCCCCCTAATATCGACAAAGACTCTTTTGGTGGTGTTTGGCCATCCAAGAAGGATTCGGAGGAAAGGAGTCCGGTGAGATGACCACCGATCTCCTTGCATATGATTAATAAGAAGAATTTTGTTACCGTGAGATGGTTACATCAGGCGTAGTGTACTGATTGCAATACGATGTTATTATATATTTAAAAATGCAAACAATCCTCTTCTTCACCGGTGATTCGTTCATCTTGTTCACCAATCTTTTCGGCCATCTCCTTCATTGATTCTTTTGATTTCAATTCTCCTTCTTCAATTGTCTTCTTTTCTTTCAAGAATTTCACCATAATTTTGTTCTTTTTCATATTCAAAGTAAATCTAGTTTTTTCTTCTTCCCCATCAATTCGAAATAGAAGTTTTATTAATCTAAAATAAAAGTTCATATTTGTTTTTGAAGACCTGTAACTTTTCTTAAGCTCTGTCTTGCTTTTTAAACTTCATGTGATTCATATTTGAAACCCAACAAAGATCATCGTGCTCAAGAGTTTAGTGGTTTACATATGCCACTACGTGAGTGTACATTTAAAGTAATGCGGGTTGGATTTCGACATGCCTCAAGCTACATTTTCAATATTGTGATTTCATTTCGACTTGACTCAAATTACTTTTTCATTAACGTGATTTATATTTCGACTTGTCTCACATTAGTTTTTTGAGTAGCACAAGTCACATTTCTTATACCCTTTATCTTCACTAATTCTTTACTGTCTATAGTGGAAGCAAAGTTCAATAACTTACATTTGATATTACTCCCTCCGTCCCAGAATTAACTTCGGTTTTGACTGGGCACGGAGATTAAGAAAGTGGGAAATGTGTGGTGGAGAGTTGTGCAGAGGAGAGAGAAATGTGTAAGAATGGTTGTGAACCACAAATCCTTTGCTAAAAAAGGAAAGAGGAGATAAATTTGGGACGAACCAAAAAGGAAAGAATGAAGATAATTATGGGACAGAGGGAGTAACTTATTTACATCTCGGGTAACACAAGTTACATTTTCATTCACACAATTTACATTTTACTACGTACATTGGAAGGGGAGTGAATAACTATTGGATGGAGCGAGGATCAAATTGTTTCAGTGTGCGCTTTTTATTCTATTGAAATTCAATGACATTGTTTTAGGTGTGAGAGGTATATTAGAGCATCTCCAACTTAAGGGTGGATTGTATCTCCACCTCACCAAATGCACTCCACTTTAATAATTGTGCTCTCCAATGCAACAAAAAATAGAGAAGGTCAAGCTTAGTTGGCAAATGAGAGAGAAGGCCAAGGTCTTGCACAAGGTCCATTGATAGACCTTGGGTCTCACCTCACCAACTTAAAAAGCAATGATTCTTTTCTAATTTGTGCAGTGATTTCATCGGCATTGGAGTAGAAAAAAAGTAGACCCTTCCAATTTGTTTGCTTTCCCTTCTATCCTCAATGGACCCTTTGCATTTGGATGACACATCACCTCCAATCACCCTTGGGTTGGAGATGCTCTTATCGTGCATATGGCATTAGTGTAGACCCCTTCTTCCGGTGCAATTCTCTTACAAATTTCTAAATTGGAATTAAGAGGTCGGGAGTGTTTTAAATGTATTACTAATTGATTTTATGTCCACATTCACGCAATCCACCTGCATCTCTTGGCATTCCATGAACTTGTTCAATGTATTTTTTGCCAGGTGGCTATGATTAAGGTTGACAATTAAACATGCCCAAAGATTTTCAATAATCATTGACCCATAAATCCCTCAGTGATTGCACATTTTTTAATTTTTATTCTTCAACCAAACCTCCATAGTTAATAGTACTCCGTATTAGTTTTATTATTTTCAATCATTATATTATTCAAAGTGATTAGCAATTAATTAATCAGTGAAGCAGAGGAGATGAAGAGCGAAGCTGAGCTCACAGTTCTCCACCCATCCATTCGAGCCCGGGCGGCGTCTCTTCGCACTATCGCTATACTTTTCGCCTCATTTTTTGCATTTTCTTTTGGCTTGACTCTATTTTCCGGCAGAGAAGCTGCAGGGACAAACGCCACGGCGGCGGCAAAGCATCCGAGACCCGACCCGGTGTTGGAAGCGCTGGTGCATTACGCCACGGTGAATACGACGCCGGTGTATGCTGCTCGAATGTCCACCGCGGAGGTGAATTGCATCGTCGCCGCCCTCCGCCGCTGCCAGAACGCGTGCAATTTTCTCGTCTTCGGGCTGACCCACGAGACCTTCCTCTGGCACTCGGTGAACCACGGCGGCCGGACGGTGTTCATCGACGAGAGCGCGTACTGGGTGTCCAAATACGAGGAGAGATTCAAAGGGATCGAGGCGTACGATGTGAAATTCACGACGAGAGTGAGCGAATTGTATGATCTTCTGGAGCACGCGAAGGGCGAGCTGAAGGGAGAGTGCCGGCCGGTGCAGAATCTGCTGTTCTCCGACTGCAAATTGGGGATCAACGACCTCCCGAACCACATATACGACATCGCCTGGGACGTCATCCTGGTGGACGGCCCGCGCGGGTATCCGGTGTCGGCGCCGGGGAGGATGGCGGCGATATTCACCGCCGGCGTGCTTTCCCGGAGCAAAGTGGGCGGCGCGCCGGAGACCGAGGTGTTTGTGCACGAGATTTATAGAGAGGCGGAGAGAGTGAGCAGCGAGAGATTCCTTTGCCGTGAGAATGTGGTGAATCGTGTGGGGGCTTTAGGCCATTACAGAGTGGCGAAACAAGATCCGCAGAAGTATATGTTTTGTTCATCCGCTCAATTCTCATCGTCGTCTTCACCTCCGTCTGATAGGTGATGAAGCAGAGTTGTGTTATGCAATCGATCAAGTGAAGGAATAATACAGGATTAGTTTGTTAGCTTAAGACTTTCCCTATAAAGATATTGTATTAAACTTATCTGACTAAACAAGCTCAAGATGTGCAATGCATGATCTCCAATGCTTTTGATGTATACAAATGAAACCGGTGGGCGTAGCTCAACTGGTAGTAAGGGAGTGCCACAGGGGTTAGGTCTCGGGTTCGAATCCCGGCAACTGCGATGAGGGGTTACTATGCTGAAAAATGCATAGGGCCTCTGCAAGTACCGGGGACAGAGGCCCACTCTCTATCTGTCAGATTGTGATTATAGTCCAATTTACATCCTCTCATCGTGCCGTCCGGTCGGTGTTGGGGGCCCTCAGGGATGGGGTGTCATCCTTTTTTTGATGTATACAAATGAAAATGGTACATTGATTAGATGGGCCAAAATAAATAAATTGAGGAGGGTCCATTGAATCCATGTAAAAATTGTGGAGGTCTCTGATGGATCGATTCACCCCTACCGACAAACTTTCCAGTGGGTCACCCATCCTTGGGCTTTCTTACCTCAGGCTCGCTTAACTCCAAAGTTCTGTGGTTAAATAGCAGTTATATCTTTCTTAAAACCAATTGGTGATAAGGAAGTGGACACCCTCTATTTAACACATTACTCTGTAGTCCTCAAGTCAAGGCAGATTCCTGTGGGGCACCCCCACAGTTCACTACGGCAGTGCAGAGCCCCACTATTGAGCGATGGATGGACATGAGGGGCTGCACCACTTTGTGGTGCCAACAGGTTGAGCGGTTAAGCCCTGAATCAAAGGGTGGTGCTGATCTCCCATAAGACCAACAGTCTCAAAATGTGAAAATGGATATCTTGGTGGACTTTCCTCATTTTTCTCTCCAACTCAACATGACTTAGTTCATTTATGTTTGCATTGGAGACTATATTCTTTAACAAAGTGTTCATTTGATGATGTGGGAGTGCAATCAACCATTGCATTAGAGATGCTCTTAGAGTTCGTTTGGATCTTAGTGATTTTCGTTTTGAGCATAGTCATTTAAAAACAACTCAAGTATTTTGAGTTAAATAGGCCGGTTACAACAGGTGCACGAGTACTTTTCGTAGGTGAACTATAGACATGAAAACAAGAGTTTTTTTTCAAATAAATTATTTTTTAGATATGAAAAAATTGATTGGTTTAAAAGATTCACTTCTATAATTTAGTTATATATGTACTCTAATACGATAGTATTTGGCACTTTTATTTTTATTCGATTAAAAGTCATAGATTAAATTCATTAAAATTACAAAAATATGTTCGAACCTGTATACTACTTTCGGGCATTTAATCTTTTTCTTCGTATGTCATCTACGGAATAATTAATGTAATAAAAATCAAAACGCTTTTGGGCTTTTCATGCGTAGACTTCCTCTATTCCGGCTTAAGCCTTGACTTTGACAAATAGTCACGCTTCATGACTTTTATGTAATAGCTTAATTAAAAATCTGTGTACACTTTAGGTCACCAAATATGATTCTGACGTGCTTGATTACAAAGAAAAGCAGCAGGCTAACAACCATCTCATCTGTGCGCCTTTTCCTACCCTAAGACATATCTACTCCAATTAAGCTGCAACTTAGCAACTCTTCTTTCTAACAATTCAATCAATAAGTTGTACTAGCTAGTATGATATATATATAAATCAATCTTGCATGCTGAGCATTTTAAACCATTAATTAATTAATTAATTAATACCCATATAAAATACATACATATGCCACTGATAGGATATTAGCCTTGCCTGTCTTGCTTAGCAGCTAGCATCTCATTAATTATATTGTAGTCGTGGTCTTTAGGTTTTGATCTTTTCAATATCTCATTGCATTGCTAGCTAAGCTGTATATGATATGATGGGCCTCTCAAAGCCGCATATTGTTGTTTTTGTTTTAAGGGTCTTAGCCTTAGGAGGCACTTTAGCTGCAACCATTGTGATGGTCACCAGCCACGACTCTACTCAACTCCTAGGCTTCACCTTTCAAGCCAATTTCACCCATTCACCTACTTTTAAGTAACCTTTATTTCTCTCCTTTTTTTTTCAACCGAAAAGTCGAATTTAGCTATCTAGCAGGCTAGCGGCCACGAGCTTAACCAAATACATATGTTCTTGGCATGCAGGTACTTTGTTGGTGTGAATACAATTGCAAGTGGATATAGTCTCATAGTCCTGTTTTTTTCATCCAAGAATATGGCCAGCAGCGTTCTTCTCGTCTCCGATATGGTAAACCCTTGAATGCATGTATTTCTTTCTTAAATGTATTTTTCCCTAGGACTGTGAAGAAACCACACTTCATCGATACTAATATTTAAGATACTATTTATGCATATTTCTTCGAGTCTTACCTTATTTTAAAAATATAGTCAAGTCTTCCACATGACATAACTAATGATCTTTTTTTTTTGGTGGGGGGCAAAGGTATTGATGTTGTTGATGGATTCAAGCATATCAGCATGCCTAGCTGTGGCTGAAGTGGGAAAGAAAGGGAACATAAATGCTGGTTGGCTGCCAATTTGTGGCCAAGTCTCAAAGTTCTGTGATCATGTTGCAGGATCTCTCATTGCTGCCTTTGCTGCTTTAGTTCTCTATTTTCTTCTTCTTCTCTACTCTTTCCACACTCTCCTTAATCTTTACACCCTTAAATTGTAATAAGTCTCGTTTTTCCTCGGGACTTTTGGAGCCCTTTGTAATACACCTGTAACATTCCTCCACCATCTATGTTTTTCACTACAAATATACATATGAGGAATCAGGGGCGGCCCTGTATGTTCGAAGGCCTAGGGGCGAAAAATTAAAACGAGCCTAATGTTACAAAAAAATTGTAGAACTCTTTTCTATTTTAATTGACATGCATAATAATTTAGAAGAAAACAATGGTGATCCTATTTGTACATTTTATCAATAATGTTTAAGTCATATTCAAGGAAATAACTCTATTACTATCACTTCCCAAATTCTCCCTCCAATGATGTAATCATTCTAAATCGTTTCATTATTTGTAGCTAAATTATTGTTATTCTATGAGTTCTCATCTTGAAGAGGGCATTCAGAATGTGATTTCTTTACACAAATAAACTTTTCCATCGAACTTTTTTTACTTAGCGCTGTTTTCTCTAATCTTCTCATCTTTTTATATATCCCATTGACGTGCACTTTGTCACGGTGCGTCAAAATAAATTCGATACTAACACTTATACGTAGTATAGGTGAAGTAGAGTTCGTATCCACAGGGAAATGAATAATTATCTTTTTAAATGAAACAAGTAAATAAAGGGGGGGTTTAATTGAGTGATTTAATTTAATTAAACACGAAGATGAACGACTTATATGAGATTTAATTCAAGAATAAAAAAGAACTTGGCCTTGCTATTTTCCATTTGTTGATATATTTTAGTCGATCATTGTTATATCTATAACTTATCCTCTCTCGAATACTCAATCGAGGAGTATATCCAATTCATCGAGGGTAGTTATTAACAACGACTGTTCATTAATAACCCTTACTATTAGTCAAGTATAGAACACCGCCATATACAGACTTGATATTATCATTTAATCTCTTAACTCTTTGATGAAATCAATTGAGATTGATAACCTCAACACAACGGTTTCGGTTTAACCAACAAAATTAATCCCTCTTAAGTTTATTAACCACGACCGTGCATTAATAAACTTAAGTTACTTACTTGTGAAACCATCAACGATTAACCATCGGTTCGTTGAACGTTTCTAGTAGTAATTAATGTCGAGATGTTAACTAATTGTCATCTTAGCAACACTCCCCAACATTAATATAGAGATAAATTAAGGGAAGATTTAATATTCAAGGAAGAAGATTAAAGATGAATAATCCTACTATAACTAATGTCAAGATGTTAACTAATTGTCATCTTAGTAACACTCCCCGACATTAATATATAGATAGATTAAGGGAAAAATTAATATTCAAGGGAAGAAGTTAAGAAAATAACTCACAACTTTAATAATCAACAAGCTTCAAGAGCAACGCCAAGAAACGGAAGTTTAGCTCCTCATTTGGAGACTAAACATGCTATAAAAATATAAGAAATAACTATACTAAACTGAGCTTAAGAGTATGGAAGAAGGGATGATTATTTGTGAAGGAAAAGTGTGCTATTTATAGGTGTTTTTCAACACCTTGGGCCGGGTACCCGACCGGGTCAAGTGCCTACCCGACCGGGTCCGGTCAAAATCAGATATCCTCCACGTTCTGGTGATCTTCGGCACGTTCCAGTGTTCCGGGTCAAGTGTGACCCGACCAGGTGGCATAGGGGACCCGACCGGGTTTGTGTAATTTCCAGCCACCTTCGTTTGTTAAATCTTACCCGACCGGGTCAAGTGTTATACCCGGTCGGGTTTCAGCTCCTGGACAGTCCAATCTCCTTTTTCTTCACTTCAAAGTCCTCCTTTTCAACACCATAATTCCTAATTCTACTTTACAACTTATAAATGAAGATTAAAATACAATTACAACTAAAATCACACAAATGTTTACAAACTAAATAAAACAGTAAACAATCCACACAAATCAAACATAAAAACATACACTTATACACTACTTATTAGTGCATATCACCCATTTAGATTCAATCCTTTTTATTAGTTATTACACCTTGAAATTAATTAAATTTATAACATTTATCATAATAAAAAATGTTTGTCTAACAAAAGCAACAAATTATAACACCAACACTCAATACAAAACAATCAAGAATTAAGAAATCAAACCATCAACTATGAATAGAATCAAACAATCATATATATGACACTAATATGCTTTTGAGTGAATTTTTTATGAAATTTTAAGAGAATGTTTTTCATCAAGTGTAGATTATGTCCATAAAATTTCAGCTTAAAATTCAACCGTGAAGTCAGTTATAAATTATTGAAACACAATGCACCAAAATATGTATACAAACACAGTGTTTTTCAATAATTGACTTCTAAATTGAACTTTAAGCTGATTTTTTTAACATAATCTACACTTCATAGAGAACATAATCATAAGTTTTTGCCTAAAAAATCCATTCCGAATAACTTCAACAAATTCCACCCAAAAATTGTTATTGTAGCCTAGGGCGAATGAACCTACTCACACCTATTAATACAAAGAACTAAACTTGGGCCTATTTTTTATCAATTTTTTTGGGGCCTAGGGCGCCCGCCCCCTTGCACCTCCCTAGGGCCGCCCCTGTGAGGAATGCATTTATTGAACTGTAGTGACAATTGGCAAATGCTCCCTCGACCCGGACTGCACTATAATAACATTGTAATAACTATGAATCATATTTGTGTAATTATTTTTATTTTAGTAATATTTTTGAAAAAACTCTTTAGAGTTTAGATACCTATGCTACTTGTTTTTTGGATATATGAAAGGTAAGTATATATAGAAATCATCCATAGAGTTTATATGTACATCAAAAAATTGGGAGCGAAAATGGGACTGTCTATAGAAAGGAGAACCCATCACCCCAAGAACTCTACAAAATAAACTCCCTCACGGCCAAACATAAAATAAGTATTGCGCCATGGCTAATCTATCAAAAAGCTATCAGTTAATGAGGGTATGTTATAAAGGATCTTATACCCAATGTATTTGATCCTAGCAAGTATATCCTCCTCTCCTCTCTTTGTGTGGTTCCATAAAATTTTGTCACATTTCTCACTCTCCATAGCCAGTAGATGAAAGCAATGTGGACTGCCTTTGCTTTGCTTCCAACACCTACATGGTCTTTTTGGATCCATTTCACCGAGCTAGCTAGTGTAAACATCTGTCTAGGCATTCCAATCCAATCACTTACTTTGCTCCAAATGACTCCTGAAAATTGGAAAGCAAAAAACACGTGCGGTACTGATGTGAGTTTTCTCGCACTTAAAATAGATCGTAATATAGTGGTGTAAGTACGAGTATCGTCTCCACAAGGACGGACAAAAGGGAATCAAGAATTAATTAAATTCAGCGATTAAAAAGAAAATAAAATAAAAGCGTCGTGCGAGATTGGTTGGTTTGGAAAAAAAAACTAATGCGAACAATTAAACTAGGGGGTTCTTTCTAATTAATGACGAAGGGAACAGGGATCGATTCCGGGGTAACCAGATTTCTGGCAGATCAGGCCTAATTACATGAAATTAATTTAATTGAGCCTAGCTAATCATTACTAAGTTCTTACCGCTCTCGCGGCGTAGAGTACAATAATTTAGGGGACCAGGCTGATCTCTCATGCGACAGGATCGTAAATTATTGCCAAGACGAGCGAGCTTACGGCCCCTTAATCGCTACTAATCTCTTAGCGAACGATTAAGTGTGTGTGAATGTGTCCTAGAACAAATTAGATCTCTCTTAATTTATTCTACATGCAATTGTAATTCTAGTGGCCATCTAGGTTACAAGAGATATCAGTTAAATTATTCATACACAAATTAAACGGCATTCATGCAATTAAACCAACAAGAATCTAGCCATCAATCATGATTAACCCCTTCATCAACCTCAAATCCCTAATTAAAACTACTCACAATTCATAATTGAAGAATCAATAGAATTGGAATAAAAAGAATTAATTGTCATTAATAAAAAAGGTGGAACTTACAAAGAATCCCAAAAGATTGATGAACAAGGCTGAAAAGCCCTCTAAAATTCGTGCTAGGCACTCTCTCTAAGCTCCCCCTGAAAACGGGGGTTTACAGACTGTTTAAATAGAAAAATCGGGTGAAATTTGAGCTGAATTAGGATTTTCGGAGCCAGACACGATGCCAGGCACGATCGTGCCTTCGATCGTGCCTCCGGAGCAAAAACACGCATTTTGGGCAGGCACGGTCGTGCCTCCCTCCAGGCACGATCGTGCCTGGCTGGCAGTAGCTCCAGGGTGCTTTTCTCTTCAGGCACGATCGTGTCTGACTTTGAGGGCACTATCGTGCCTACTTAACTTCCGAATTTGACAAAACTTCATTCATGAAAGTTGTAGATATTGAAGTCCTCTATCCACCCCAATTAGCGGAATGTGATTTGAATCATCCAATCAAGAGATATGATCAAAACGGTGGAAGGTGTCTTTCTGAAATCGCAGCAGAGATCATCTGACTTCATCGTCTGTTTTCACCTTCTTCCTCTCAGATTCTCGCAAAGGTGTCTTCATATGATTTGTAGCCCTTGAAGTTGGCTTTACTATGGAACTTGAATCGTGTACATTGGATGTTTCTACAAAGAGATATGCGTAAACGATTGACAGAAGGTCATCCTGATCGTCGTCTTCAAGCTTCATTCATCTTCTTTTGACCCCGTAGCCAATCCTAGAGCTCTTTTTCCTTCAAATCTTCATCGTGAACCTCCCGGTGACCTTCAAAGCTCTCAAATCACTCTCGAATGCTTCTCAAATCATCCCGATTGTTCCTCAAGTGCCGGTACCGGGCTCAAATTCCCTAATTTTGACTACAAACAACACAAAACTCGAACCAACGCCCGGTAAACATAACTTGAGTTAAAATTGAGACTTGCAAAACCTTAAATCCAGGAAAACCATCAAAATCCGACCCGGACACGCATCAAATGCGTGTCTAAATACGGACTTATCAGACTCCCCCACACTTAAGCTTTTGCTTGTCCTCAAGCAAATCGAACAACGGGACTTACGATAATCACCACACGGAATTTAAAATAGTTAGCATACACACGTAGTTAAAGGGATATTCACAGGACAGACAATCTAAACCAAGAAAATTCTTCCCTAAACTACACCTTTGTACTCGAGCTAAACTATTTGACACAATTATTCACAACATCCTCAAAGTAATGACAGCATACACAAATAACTAGCTACTGATAAGAAGGACTTGTGAATGTGATGGTGAATGGATAATAATAGTCCCTTTATTTTGAGAGATAGGAATATTCTAACAAAGACTCAATGCATTCAGGAACTTCAG